AATTGGAAGGCCCTCAGTAAGCTGGATGGACACAGTGGGTGCATCTCTGGGCTCAAATACAGCCGTGTGAGCCTGGTACAGGACCGGTGTTGCCTTCTGTGCTTCGTAGGGACCCTACGATTTAGACAGTCTGAAGGACACCTAATAATCCACACCTAATTGTGAAGTATCCTTTTTGTTTTCTTTACGGAAATAGAAATGAAGGATTTAGTCCAGAATGCCACTAATAACTGATATTTCAGTTAGTAGAAAGGAAATCAGAAATAGACAGTGGGCAGTCTGCACTAAGGAGCGTGCAGGGCTTCACCCTGAATATAAGCAGTAAACATTTTTTGTCACCAGAGCAAATTCATGAATGGAAAAAAAGCTTGGTATATGTAGTGTCATGATGTCTTTTTGTTTTAAGATAGTATTTTATTGAGTTTTTGGGAAACGTTTATACAGGACATTATTGCCCCTTTTGGTAATTCCCAGAGAGCCTCCGTGGCTTAGTGGTTATGCATTGGGCTGCTGTTGGGAACCACCAGCCGCTCCGCAGGAGATAGATAGGGTTCCTACTCCCGGCAAGAGTTAGTCTCTGAAACCCACAGGGACCTTGACCTGTGGGGTCAGATGAGTGAGCAACAACTCTGATGGCTGTGAGTTTGAGTGTTTTTAGTCAGTCTCACTTCAGCATGTCCATGTGAGCGCTGTTTGCCTACTGTCCACACGTCCACTTGCTACTTGTGTGCGCTTCTTGTTTCTATGACAAAGTGGCGCCAAAAACTAAAGTACTGGTCGGAAGCCATCCCTCAAAGGCTAAAAGCAAACTTTCAAGTGCTATTTACATAGTATTTATATTGTGTCAAGTATTGTATGTACTCTCGAGATGATTTAAAGGGCACTGGAGGGTGTACATGGATTATATGCAATTATGACACCATTTCATATAAGGACCTCCACATCCTCAGATTTTGATAGCTGGTGGTTCCTAACGTTGAGGGCTGACTCTCATTTCCCTGCCCCCCCCCCCTTCTCCTCTTCTCTTTTGTGTAATTGTTGACCTGGTGGCCTCATGCTGAGTTTGTTCGGTAGGACACTGATCTCACACGAAATATCCTTTCTTCTGCGTGCTGCTCTGCCATTTCGCTAGAAGGTGCTCTCAAAGGATGGGCTTGGTTCTGGGTTAAGTCTCAGGGCGGTAGTCTCGGGGAGCCCTCTTGTTTGCTGCTCATTTGTCTGTTTTTTTGTTTGCTTTAAATAAGAAGCTGAGTTCTCCATCTATTTTTGCCATTCGATCTGGGACCAATTATTGTGACAGCGGTCAGACTGGCCCGTGGTGAGCAGGGCACCATCCAGTTCTTCTGGCCTCAAGTTGGATGAGGTCGTGGCTCATGCAGACTTGTTTCTTCTCTGAGCCTGGGTTATCTAATTTCTCTTTTGGCTCTGGCAAGTAGAGCACACTCGTTGTGCTTTAGATGGCTCATAGGTCACGTCGTTATGGCTTCTCCATTCCTTTGAGTGTCCAGGGACCCTAGACTGACTAGGAGCACCATGTGGTATTTTATGGAAGTTGTGAATTTGACTGAGGGTTAAGTAAGTCTCATCGTACAATTTCCTCAGCAGAATTTTGAAAGATGTTTATTCCAAGATCGCTCAAACTCAAGAGGGATAATAGCGATGACGGCAAAGGCTGTGTGTCTAAGAAAATAAAGCAAGAGGAAGAGCTTCAGTTGGGTGGAAGCAAAGATTCTCCAGTTGAGACTTCACCTACAAAAGAAGAGGCAACCCCCAGTAGGCCCACCCCTGTGGCAGGCCTGCCCCGCAGTCCAGCTGAGCAGTTGGCTGGGGGCTGTTTGGTGGAATCCGAGCAGAGTGGTGCAAAGGACACTGATCTTCTTGAGGAACCTGTGAAGTCATTTTCCAAAACACAGCGCTGGCCCCAACCCGGAGAGCCTGTCTGTGTTATGTGTGGTCGCTATGGAGAGTATATCTGTGATAAGACCGACGAAGATGTGTGCAGCCTGGAGTGTAAAGCAAAACACCTTCTACAAGTTAAGGGAAAGGAGGAGGAAGGGAAACCCAGCAGTTCCCCCAGAGCTGATTCTGGTCCAGAACATCCGCTTGGTGCTTTTTATACCTACAAAGAGCACCCCTTTATTGTGAACCTTCAGGAGGACCAGGTTGAACATCTTAAGCAGCAGCTAGGAATTGTCATTCAAGGACAGGAAGTCCCCAGGCCCATCGTGGAGTTTGAACACGGTGGCTTCCCTGAGGCTTTGAATCACAACTTGAAGAAGGCAGGCTATGAAGTTCCAACCCCCATCCAAATGCAGATGATTCCTGTTGGACTTCTGGGAAGAGACATCCTGGCCAGCGCTGACACAGGCTCCGGCAAGACGGCTGCTTTTCTTCTTCCTGTTATCCTGCGGGCTTTAGTCGAGGTAAGTTCAAGCTCATGTGTATTAGTCTCAGAAACAAGTCACAAGTTACCATGGTTCTGCCTTAGCTGAGGAGGCCAGCCGCTCAACAGGCAAATGCTTGGCTGACTGAAATGTTGGCAGTTCAGACCCCCGTGGCTGCTCTGCACGAGAAAGGTTTGTTGGCTTGCTCCTGTAGGACTCCCAAGACCAAACTCACCATCACCCAGGAAATGCTGACTGTAGTGACCGCATAGGCCAGCGTATAACTGCTGTGTGGGTTTTTAGGACTGTAACTGCAGGGACAGGCAGCCTCGTCTTTCGGGCTGTTGGTGCCTTGTGGTTAGCAGCCCAATGTAAACCCACTCACTGCACCACGAGGGCTCCTCCTGTGGCAATTGTAACCTAGAAAACCCCATGGTGTGGTTCTGCGCTGTCACAGACGTTCCCTCAGTCCTGGACACCTCACAGTATCAGCCTGCACTGTATTAAAATCACACACTGTGTTCGAGCGTAGATTCAAAGCGCTCGGCTTCGGAGAAGGCTTTGGGCCACAGTGGGAAGTCCAACTGCTATTGAGTCTTGATCTAAATTCAAGCTTCATTAGTGTTCTTCCTGACCCTTAAGCCAGCAATACTTTATATCCAGACAAGTCCTGGGGAAAACCTGGGAAGGGCAGCTTCTCCCGCAGATTGTGTGTTTGAAAGTGGATTGCAGCTCTGGAGCAAGCTCAGGAAGAGACAGCGTTGCCCTCAGGCTTCCAAAGAGCTGGGGAACTTTTCCTGGGTGTGCCTGTAATCATTTACTGAAAACCGCTTCACAGTAATCGTTTAAGTTAAAAGTTGAGGTTCTGATAACTGATTCAGGGTCATGTGACCCTGTGTCATCCCTGACCATTCAGGTAGTCCAAGCCCCAGCATCAATCTGGAAATAGAATATGCTTCCCTTGTACAAAACTGGAATATTTAGAACATTAAAAGATTTTTTCTTATATTAAACTAAAGACCTCTTCATTGAAAAGATGAATATTTATTACCCATACAAAGCGCTATATTTTAAAATAAATTCTCTGTTAAAGGAAATACATTTTTTTTAATTTAGCAGAGGTGGGAAGGATCCAGCTGACTTAATGGGGTGTCATTTTTAATCTGAATTTAGTTGCCTTGGGTGTTGCATTTAGAAGAAACAAGCCCATATATACCAAAGTTGACACACGAGAGTTTCAAAATACAACCTTAAGTGTGATTTGAGGTTTGTCTTCAAATAATGCTACGTTACCTTACTTTACCTGTTTGTTTATGGTACATAAAGCACACTCATATGTAATTAGTGTAACAAACACTGTCAGTAATTAGTATTTGCTAAGTATTTGGCCACTATGAGGTAGTATCGACTTGATGGCAGTAAGTTTGGGTTTTTGGGGTGTTAGTGAAATATTTGGTGGCATAGTGGATTACAAATTATGCTGTGTGTTACGAACCACAACGTCAGCACTTAGAAACTAGTGTCTCCTCAGGAGAAATACGAGGCTCTCTACTCCAGGCTCTCTACTCCCCTAAACAGTCATAGCTCCGGAAACCCACAGAGGTAGTTCTGCCATGCACTGTAGGATCACCATGAGTTTGGTTTGGGTTGTGGTATTGGTGGTCCTGTGAGGTGTGGCAAGGAGGGAAATGCCTAGGGGAAAATGGGCAAAGAGAGGGAAAATTTGGAAAAACGCAAGAACAGTAGAAAATACGTGAGGGGAAATAAAGCATTGGGCGGCTGGGAGGGAAAGTGGGGTGCCATCCACTACCTGGATCTCAAGGAGCCCTGGGAGCAAACCCTCCAATCCCCACACTGGCCACTGGGCACCCTCGGGTCACGCATGAGGCCTCTTTCTTGCCTCATTTTAATCTTTCACTATATTTGGGGGGGGGGGCGGTCGGGGAGGAGAGTTCCGTGGACAGGGAGAATTAATTCCAGCTTGAGTTAGGCTGGGCAGAATATATTCTCGGGAAATGTTCCTGGAATCCCTGCGGAGATTGAGTGCCGAGATCAGGAGGACCGAGTTCCG